AACCTCTAGAAACAGGCTCTGGGCGGGTGCTCCAGCCGTGGACACTCAGTGTCAATTTGCTGTGGTGACCTCAGCAGGGTATAATGACACTGAGGCCACCATTTTCTCCAGAGGAACTGATCTCTGCTACCTAAAGAACAGTTGTAATTTTGAGTGATCTCCAGCCCTTACCTGGAGATTGGCAACAATGGTTCCCCAGAAGGGAATGGTTGGTTTGGAGGGTGGAGTCTATGGTTTTGTACCTGTCCGAGGTCCCACGCCTCCTGAAACCTCACCCTCTCCAGGCTCCATCCCTCACATCTTCAGGAATTTCCCACCTGGAGTTGGCAACACTATCTCCTTCCCAGCCAATCATCAACTTACCTTTCTTTCCCCCTCACTCTTCAGCTTTCCACCCCCCACACACCTGCAGCCTCTCCCGTGCTCTGAAGCCCTGACTGCTACGTCACCTTAGCTGTCATACGGGGGCCACCTCAGCAGCATATAAGGATACAGAGCCCACCATTTTCTCCAGGGTAACTGATCTCTGCCACCTGGAAAGCAGTTGTAATTCTGAGTGATCTCCAGCCCTCACCTGGAGATTGGACACATTTTACCTCAGAACAGCAAAGTGTTTAGAATGTTAGAGGCAAAAGCCAATCAAGTCGCATATGCAAACGACCTCTGTGTTCCGAGGCAAAGGCCAATGAGGCTGCATATGCAAATATCCTCTGTGTTCTGACTGGCTGTGGGGGGAGGGAGATTCTGAGTGACACACCAGGGCGCCAACCAATTCCGGAGCATGTGGAATGTTCTAGAGAAGTGCCACCACCATTCGGCTTTTATATATAAGGGAGATTGCCACTGAGGAATTTCAAATGCAGACATATTTACATGATTAACAATGCAAATGGGCATAAGAGGTGTGACTCTGCTTTGTCTGGGTCAGACACATAGCTCTCCCAGTTTCATCCAGATACACCACTGCCTAGAAGCATGGTTCACATAGAACTTGAAATTGCAGGGGGGAATATACCTCGCCCTCACCTCTCAGGTTCCGAATAAAATCCTCCAGCATCATCTTCCTGTCGGGTTTGATGTTAGGGCTGTACATATCTGTGTTGAGAAGGATGATGGCAAAGGCCAGGATGAAAATGGTGTCTGGGTTATGGAACTGCTGGACCACATCTGGGTTACACATGCAGTATCGTTGACTGCAGGTCGAAAAAGACAAAAGTCATGGCATTAACACACATTATGGAAATCAAAGGCCTGTCTGCAACTACTATGCAAATCTCTCTCTCTGGGGATGCTGAGGCCCTTTCCTCCTTGGCGAGTGATTAAAAAATGATCTGCGCCTCCAAATAAAAGAGTGTGTGTTCGGGCTCAATTAAAAAGAACAGCTAATACACAATAAATGTTGGCCCCAGTCTGTTCATGTGATAAGAAGACTCTGTCTTTGCCACCAACACTGACTTAGGATAGAGATTTTAAATACGCTTCGACCCATTCTACATCTAGCATTTACTCTGTTGTTTTACCAAACCCACACTAGAACAGAAAAAGATGCAGCTCAAAACCACATTCAAATACCCTGGGACAATGCCATACTGACTGCAGAGTCACCCCTGGACAGCCATAAAATGGCCATAAATACAGTCTGGATACTGTCATAAAAATCCAACAATCAATCAAAGTGAAAGTGGCATGCAATGCAGAGGGGAATTTCTGTCCCAATGTGGGTTTGGTAAAACAGCGGAGCAAATGCTAGATGCAGAATGGGCCATAGACAACAGCTAACATGCAAGAACAACATATCATCTGCATTTGTCTTCGGGATACATTCACACAGCCATATTTTCCCTAGGAAGCCTCCACCACATTTTCACTGTCTGTGTCATTATAAAAACATGGTTTCCTGTCACACATTGCTTCTCTTGTGTTGTCCCTCTGAGCACGTGTGAGCAGCTCCCTTCAATGGAAGAGTGGATGTGCCTGTCATGGGCTCACGGTTGAATGGGCTGTCTGAATCCATTCCAACATATAGAGAGTGAATGGGCTAACTCCACTGCCAGGTCCCAAATATCTGATGACAGGAGGGAGGCTAACAGGATATATCTTACCAATTTAACCCGGGTGTGACTCAGGAAGACCATGCTTTGATAGTAGTGCAGGAGATTAAAAAATAAGACCAAGGCCGATGGTGCAAATCAGGTTAAAATATCTATTTATCATTCAGTTAAATTTCCAAAAATTCCCTAACGTGTTCGCCTACGAATCTTTTACTCTTTTTGAAGAACTACTGCAAGACGAACAGATCCCCCTGATGAAGCCTGTTGGCGAAACGTGTAGGGAATTTTTGGAAATTTATCTGAGTAATAAAATATATTTTTACCTGATTTGCACCATCGGCCTTGGCCTTATTTTTAATCTGCTGTGACTGGGGCAGCTCTTTATCTTCTTGATCTGTAGTGCAGACAATATGAGGCAACTGAACTCACACAGATGAGGTGATGCCGAAACGTGAAATCCCAGTGCTGGACCCTGTACTCGGATCAGCTGCCTACTGTTACTATAGCCTGCACCTTGATACAAAGATCAGCAATGGGGAAGCACCCCAGAAAGCTCTCTCTTTCGAAAGAAATCAAAGGCATGGGCCTCAGCTCAGGAACCTTTGACCTAAGAGATGGCAGTAATGGAGGAAGCAATGGAGGAAGGCAGGAAGCAGACTCCCATAACCTATGGTCAACTTGATACCATCATTTCATTTTCCATCTGAAGGAACATAAGTACAGAGTGAGATTCTGAGGGGGAAAGTCCGTTTGACATCCTGAAGGCAGCAGGAAGACATCAGCATAGGCTTCTTTGAAATTCCCTGTGGTCTTCACATACCTTTTGGTCCAGATACAATGACCAGGGTTTGCAAGCTACCTGTATTTCACTTGCAAATGTAAATCCCAGCAGCTCCATTATCTGCCAGGAAATATTATTTCTTCATCTCCTGAGAACTATCAACCCATTAAGCCAAGACTTAACAACTACCTCAGGTGGTCTTATAAACAGGGCTATTTTGGGGCAGGAACGCACAGGAACGGAGTTCCGGCTGGCTCCCAAGTTGGCCACGCCCAGTAGGAACTCATTAGCATAATAGGCCACACCCAACTGCAGAAACTCATTAGGATTGGCTACATTAGGGGTGTGTGGCCTAACATGCAAAGGCGTTCCTGCTACAAAAAAGCCCTGGGTTTTGACAACAAGCAAGGTAAACAAAATAACAAGCAAAAGGTGGGTGTGGCTGGATGACCACACTTCTGGTAACATGGGGGTGCGGCCTAATGTGCTACTGAGCTGTGCTGTCAGGGTGTGGCCTAATATGCTAATGAGTTTCTGCTGTTGGGTGTGGCCTATTATGCTAATGAGTTCCTGCTGGGCTTTTTCTACAAAAAGAGCCCTGCTTAAAAATATTCAGGTACCCCTTCTCTCAGAGGTCACCCCACTCAGCCTACCACAGCCCGGATCCTGGCCCTTGCACCAACAGGGTCTCAGGTCTTCACTCAAACAAATCAGGGTGCAACTGTGAATTCACCAGTGGATACCCTAATTTTAACCCCTTGGACCAACGGGGTTGCAAACGTTAGTTCTGCATCAAATGTGACCATGGAAGCCCAGGAAAACATAGCCATAAGAATTGGACACCATGCCTCCCATACTAGCTGTCTTCGGCTGTGGTCACACACGCTAAATAATGCACTTTCAATCCACTTTCAGTGCACTTTCCAACTGGATTTTTACTATGTGAACTGGCAAAATCCAGTTGGAAAGTACATTGAAAGTGGATTATTTGGTGTGTGTGACCGCAGCCTCTCACTACTGCAACATGACAACCCTGGATCCTTGCATCTTCAAGACAGGCGGAATATGACTCACTGCCCCCCGTTTTGCTTCCCTTCTCAGTTTTAAACTGTTTTTCTTGTCCTGAACATCCTTCTCTTAGCTCTCCTTCCCTGGTTCAGGATCACTCTGCCCTACAATCAGAGCAAACTAGTCAGGGAATCCTTCCTTCCCTACTAAAGGTCCATCCCAGTTTCCCCACCTCATGCTTTCGTTCAGAACATGGGATGGTGATGGTTTCTTTTGAGCTTACCCATGCCAGTGCCTGTCTTATTATGACCCTAAAAGACCACGTTATCTCAAGATAAAGTTCATGCTTCCAGAAGGCTATTATTACATTTCTGGGCCATGGACATTTCTTGTAGCACTGTGGCACATCTTGCTTGCTCTTCAACTACCCTCTGAAATTCCATTGCCTTCCTGTTTGCCTATTACGCTTTCTGTCTGGCTCTTACCTGAAAGCCTCAATTAGCCGTTCCACCTTCTGGGCCTCTCCCTGCACTCGGATGTGAGCCTGAAATTTCCGCAAAGCTTCATCAAGTTCCATGCCAGAGAAGTCCATCTCATCCACCACGCAGCTAAGAGGAACGAAAGACAAACAGCTTCAGTGCCAACCCTGTGCACAGCACTTTCTCAGAAGACATCTGATGCAAGGGACAAAGAAGTCCATCAAGCCATCTAGGAGGGCCGTGGGATTCTCATTCACTGCTGTGAGGAAGCAACCAAGGCTAGGCGAGAACTAGGGTTGCCCAGCCTGGTGACCAACAGAAGACCGGGGGGGGGGACATGGGGAGTGGCTGTCAGCCAACAGTGTGACATCATTCCTGGTTAAACCCAGAGGTATGCAGAGGACACCATGTTATTGGCAGAAAGCAGTGAAGACCTGAAAAGACTACTGATGGAGGTTAAAGCAGAAAGTGCCAAAACCGGATTACAGCTGAACATCGAGAAGACAGAAGTGATGACTCCTGGGGAACTACACAACTGACGATGTTCCATGCCAGAGAAGTCCATCTCATCCACCACGCAGCTAAGAGAAACGAAAGACAAACAGCTTCAATGCCAACCCTGTGCACAGCACTTTCTCAGGAGACATCCGATGCAAGGGACAAAGAAGCCCATCAAGCCATCTAGGGGGATTCTCATTCACTGCTGTGAAGAAGCAACCAAGGCTAGGCGAGAACTAGGGTTGCCCAGCCTGGTGACCAACAGAAGACCGGGGGGGGGGACATGGGGAGTGGCTGTCAGCCAACAGTGTGACATCATTCCTGGTTAAACCCAGAGGTATGCAGAGGACACCATGTTATTGGCAGAAAGCAGTGAAGACCTGAAAAGACTACTGATGGAGGTTAAAGCAGAAAGTGCCAAAACCGGATTACAGCTGAACATCGAGAAGACAGAAGTGATGACTCCTGGGGAACTACACAACTGGCGATGAAGAAACTGAACATTGACACAGAGAGTACTCCATCTTTCTGTGTTATACCTCTGAGGATGCCAGTCACAGCTGCTGGCGAAACATCAGGTACTACAATGCCAAGACCACGGGCCATACAGCCCGGAAAATCTGCATCGACTAATAAACTGAAATTGTCCAGGATTTTCTATTCCTCGGCCTCCATCATCAACCAATAGGGAGGCTGCACCCAAGAAATCAGGAGGAGATTGAAACTGGGAAGGGCAACCGTGAAGGAGCGAGAAAAGATATTTCAGGGAGGACGGCAACCAAGAAGAAGTTGATTCATGTCTTAAGTCTTCCCCATGACTATGTATGGGTGTGAAAGCTGGACAATGAAGAAAGCTGATGAGAAGAAAGTAAATTCCTTTGAAATACTGTGCTGGAGGAGAGTTTTATGGATGCCATGGTCTGCCAGAAAGACAAATAAGTGGGTTCTAGACCAAATCAAGCCGGACCTCTCCCTAGAAGCTACAATGACTAAACTGAGGCTATTGTACTTTAGTCACATTATGAAAAGACAGGACTCACTGGAAAAGAGAGTAATGCTAGGGAAAGTTGAACACAGCAGAAAAAGAGGAAGGCCCAGCATGAGATGGACTGACTCAACCAAGGAGCCAGGAGGGCCCTCCATTTGCAAGACCTGAGCAAGGCTGTTAACAATAGGATATTTTGGAGGACATTCATTCATAGGGTCGCCATAGGTCGGAAGTGACTTGATGGCACTTCAAAACTCTATGGTTTTAGCCAGTTTAAGAACAGTTTAAAAGAGGACATGATGTTCCTTCCAGGTGTACCCAGAAGTAACTTCACATTGTTTGCCAATGGCCATTTTAAAATATATATATTTTTCTCCTGCCACCACTCTGAGCTGCAGCAGGAAATGCCAGCCAGTGGCAAGGGATCCCCTGCCCCTACTTTGGGGGGGGCGGCAAGCCTAGCTGGACCTCATCCTGCTTCTTCTTGCCTCTTCTGACATTGTGACTCATGAAAAACCTTGCATGGACCACAGCTGTTGGGAAATAATGGCTTCCTCCCTTAGCGTAAGATGCAAGGCTGTTTTCTCTTTGGAAAAAGGGACGGCATCCAGTGAGTGGGCTCTTCAGCTACAGCTATGATGTCTGTCTCCATGAGCCAAACTACACATTACTCGCTTTCCCTGCAACTGCACCGCACCCAGGAGCCCAGTTGGATTCGGGATGATGGCTGAGGGGAGGAAGGTCATGTGCCTCCCCTGATGCCTTTTTCTCAAGTCAAAACCGCCAGGGGGAGGAATTTGCCCATCTTTAGAGCTTCATATGCCCAGAATACTCCCTGTGCTGTTCCAGAGTCAGGCATGTCACTCCCCTCCCCTGTTGTTTCAACTCAGGAAAATGACATGGGGGGGGGGGAGAGAGGAGCCTCTCCTCCCCTTCCCCTCCACGCTATCATCCCAAGGACAGCACAAGACAGACAGTTGGAAGTGCTTTGAGAGAAACTTCCACAAGGGTGTCCACCTACATTCTCTTTGTCCAGCTAAAACCTCCAGTCAGACATAAAAAAGCAGCCTCAATTGTTTAAAAACGTAAAGGTTCCCTTGCTCGAAAGCCAGTCGAATCCGACTCTAGGATTGCGGTGCTCATCTCCGTTTCCAAGCCGAAGAGCCAGTGCTGTCCGAAGACATTTCCGTGGTCATGTAGCCGGCATGACTAAACACCAAGGCGCACGGAACACTGTTACCTTCCCACCGAAGCGGTACCTATTTATCTACTTGCAATGTCTTGCTTTCGAACTGCTAGGTTGGCAGGAGCTGGAGCTGGAACTAGAGACGGGAGCTCACTCTGTCATGCGGCACACTCGGGTCTCGAACTGCTGAACTACCAACCTTCCACAGCCTGCAGTTCAGCGTCTTAACCACTTGAGCCACCGCAGCTCCTTGCCTCAATTGTTTACCAGAGGTAAAACTGAAATGACTACACACACGTTGCAAGCAGCGATCCCTGTTTCGAATAACCTTCTACAGAGACCCAGGTTCTTTCTGTTCTGGGGGAAACTGCTGATACTGAACTTAGCTTTAAAAGGGAGAGAAATCAATGTAACTGATCCTCCAAGACAATCTTTACTTTTTTTTCCTTCATGGGGCAGACCAGAAGAAGTTTGCAGAAGGAGTGCGAAAGTCTTATCCCTCCTCTTTTCTGTTGACTGCTTTTATTTCACCGACACATAAACTACGTTCTCCCGAGGGGTCATAGCAAGGCTTCTCGCTGCTAAATGCTTCGCTTTGATAACGGGAGACTATTTCCTGGTTAATCAATACCAGGCTCACTGGGGAGACTGTAAGGTTTTTGAGGGGGAGGAAAGAAATGTGTTCAAAGCATAACAGGAAGCCGGTTTGGTGTAGTGGCTAAGAGCATGGACTGTAATGTGGGAGAACCGGGTTTGATTCCCCACTTCTCCACATGAAGTCAGCTGGGCGACCTTGGGTCAGTCACAAGTTTTTCCTAGAGCTGTTCTCACAAGAACAGTTCTCAAAAGAGCTCTCCCAGCCCCACCTACCTCACAGGGTGCCTGTTGTGGGGAGGGAAAGGGAAAGGAGATTGAAAACCGCTCTGAGACACCAAGTGAAAGGCGGGGTATAAATCCAATCTCCTCCTACTCCTACTCCTCCTTCCCCCTAAGGTGCAATCGAAACTTGGAGCCTTGTCAACAGAACAGGAGCGTCTAGATCCCATCTTCTCTGTCATGGTAAACATGAGGCTGTACTTCTCACTACTTATCAGGGCATGGAATGAAGATCATAAGATCATCAGGTAAATCTAACCACACAAAACTTCCTCAGGATTTCCTTTTCATCGGTCTGTAGGATTTCTGACAGTACCAGAAGGTGAGCCAGAGCTACCCCAGTTTGCTGTGCAACGGTCGTGTTGACAAACCATTTTGCTTCTAATGCCTGGGCTGAGAATCAACGGCAAAAAGTCTGTTTTGCACACAGAAAGTCCCTGGTTGGCGTCTGCAGTTCAAAGGATCTCAGGTAACAGCTGTTGGGGAAGACCTTTAGTGCCTGAGACCCTGGAGAACTGCAGCCACACAGAGTAGAGAAACAAATGGTCTGAAACAGTATGATGCAGCTTCCTGTACGTTTAGCTATTAGCAAGTCAAGTTTGGTGGGTGGGAGTGGATGCAGAGCTGAAGGAAGAGAGGACAGTGCTTCCCTGCCCCTCAGTACTTTACTCGTGCAGCCATGGCACCAGTTCCAGAGACCAGTTTCCTAGAGGTGCCTCTCCCTGTGAGGAAAAGCAATCATATGTAACTGGTAACAGAGACAGCCAAATAATGGGTAACTGTTTCAGGGAACATTTTCTCCTATATAACTCCCCACTGCCTAAAAAAAACTTATGAGAGAAGTCAATGCTAACATTTTCATGTTTCTGGAGGCTAGTTTGGCATACACTAGAAGCAGGACCTCTTTAACAGTCGCCACAGTGTCTAATAAAGAGCTCCCTTGGTAAACTCACTTAGATTCATCTCTTCATCAGTTGTTTAGAACAAAGTTTGGGTCCAATGGCACCAAGCAGCTTTCATTTTGGTTATAAGCTTTTGTGTGCATGCACAATTATTTAGTTACCTTGAAACAAGACTTCCTCAACTATTACATATAGGCGGGGGGTAGTTGCCAGGAAAGGCCGGTTAGAGTCAAGATGCATAAGTAACTGAGAGATTAGTAAAGCTAAGATTGGATTAAAGCAGTTGGTAAGACCTGTGAATAGCATCAAATCAGGATACAGATAGTAAAAGAATTAACAAACTGATGTGAGAACTAAGTATGAGTCCAGTGGCACCTTTAATACCAAGAAAGTTTAATTCTGTGCATAAACAAGAACTGGGTGATTTAGCATGTGTAATGAGATAAGAACCCAATATCTCTGTTCAGCCCTGGGGGTTCCATTGTCTGAAGTGTTGTAATTACTTGTAATTCAGCAATCTCTTGTTCCTTTGCAATAAAACAGCTACCTTGAGGTCCCCCATTGAGTACCATGGGAGGTGCCACTAGTTCCAAACTTTGTTCTGTTTCTTCAGACCAACATGGCTACCCACCTGAATCTATCACTTATTTAAAGAATTGATTATGAATTTATTTTATAT